AGTGACTTTTCAAGAAATTAGAAAACTTTTAAAGCACTGCAAATACTTCTGTGACTCTGCGCTACCGAATTCGTATACTGACAGGGTTTCCGAAAGCAGCAGCATCTTTGATGATGCTTCATCAACCGTAGAAGCTCAACAGGTAATGACTACAAATTGTCGCTATTTTACTGAAAGGCAAGCAAAAAGGTTGTGTTAAAGCATATTGTGGTCTGAGAATATGTCATCCCCGAAGAACAGTACTTCAAAAGAAAATGTGCTGAATTGCGGTTTTTAGAGTTTGTGAATATTTTAGGAACGGTTTCGTTTCACAGTAGTTGGTTGCCAACTGCTCACCTGATAGTGTAGTAGACAAAAATGTTGATAGCGCAAGATGTGCTAACGAAAGTTCCGGCTAACAAATTCACGTCCGTCCTAGGAATGTCGAGATTGAGGACTATTCCAGCGGTCCCAATGATAGTTGTGGTGAAATAACCGAAGACTACGGTAAGACTAGTCACAATCAAGGACTTGTATATATTTCTCATATTGTCATTTCCTAAAATAAAATCAATGAGATGATTGATGCCAAAAAGTCAAGAATGCAAAGGTTTCGAAGATGAGCGCCATTGAAATCCCCTTTGTGATCTATATGTTCGTCGCCGATCCTCTCAGAATCTTGGGGACATTCTCATCTATTATAGAATGTCAGGGTGAGGGGTCGGTTCGCCCGCTGTTCCGCTTTTCAATAGGAAGATTACATCTCTAAGAGGACCGTGGGGTTCTGCCGTATACCATAGACACACCGTCTAATTAACCACAGGGTTAGTACCGACAGGGAGTTTGTAAATCACCGCAACTGAAATTCTCGGTGAGATGCTTCTCGGAGTAGCGAAATTGTGCTAAAAGGCTTCCCGGCGTAGAGGGTCCTATATATTTGCTTTCTGGTAGTAGGATTGGAATGAGGCACGATCAAGAGGTTCAGACTACACTGTTGAGGGATGGTCGTAACCGCAAATGCAAGTCCTCAAATGTGAACTAGGTTACGTTCGCGACAAAGCATAATTCTCGGTTCGATTCGCTTAAGCCTGCTAGGATTTTACTTTCGTATTTAAGGTGACAATTTATTTATCAACAATTTAAGCTTCTATCTCTCTGTTGATCTGCTCTGCCTTTTTGCTCTGAAGAAGTAGTCAAAATCAACGAACAGAGAGTTGGTAGTTCATCACTTTCTCATTTATCAATTACCCCACTCCTTTTTATTCCTTGCCTTGACCATGTAATTATGTATTGCGATATAAATCTACTATACTTTTTCTCAAGAATTGGAGTGCACTTACCTGTTATAGCTGTGGCCTTTCTTATGTAGTACAAGAATAGAGCATAGCAAAGAATAGTGAGCACATTGACTGCCATGATGTATCTTGTTATAACTCTATACACTTCAGTGTGCCAACAAGCAGCGACTAAGCACACCATCTTCCTTAACTTTATTTCCATATATTTCATATTCTTTCTATAGATTTAACAGATGAAAAAAATTATGTGTTTCGAACTTTTCAGCTTTTTTCTTCTGTCCTCCTAAGACGCTGAAAGGAGGTTGTTTGTCCTCCGTACAGTTGCGGAAAAAACCAAGGAAAGTGTATAAAGCCCAAAAAACTTAGCGAGTTTCAAAAATTATTTCAAGAGTCAGAGAAACTGTGATGATATTATGTTTTTCATCATCTTGGAAAGAGGTTTTCTATTTCCTGTATGTTTCCCACAAGTGCACATCATATTCGTGCACTTATGTCGAAGTGTAAGATGAGTAAGTTCCGCTCGTCCTTTCAGCGATTTCCTCTCCACTGTCTGCATTTTTTTCATATCTGAAGGGTTTCGTAAAGGAGAATAGTAGTGATTGGACCCAACTAAACACACAATCACTCATGCACACTTCGTGCGCGCGCAAACCGCCATGAATGAATCCTACTGAAGACTTGTGAGTTGAAGTGTAACGGTTCATTTCCCGCCTACTGCAACTCGACCTAGTATTTTAGGCAATTAACGCTCACTTCACACCCGTTCCGCTCTTCTCGTCCTTAACAGTTTCCGCTTACGCTTCGCTTCCTGTTCATTTCCTCCTTCTCAGGAAGTTCTAATAACGTGCTAAGTTGCCACCCCTTCTTCAAAATAAATGATGCTTTTCTGTACATGAAATTTGGCACAACCTACATGGCAGAGCAATTGAAGTGGCAAGAAAGGGAGATGGTTTGAATAATGATTATTCGAATGGGAAGTAAGATGTGGAGGAGGGAGGAGACCGGGTACTGTAGTGGCGGGAAGTGGGGTAGTTTGGAGGGCTGGCTCCTGGATTACTTCACTCTCAATCGACTTATGGAGAAAAGACATAAAAGACGCGTGTTTGCGGTATTTGCATGTTTTTTCGAGTTCTAATGGCGGGTATTGCATGCATCGAATTTTTAAACTTTGATGATGGAAAAGACAGTTACCCAAACATGTTTCGTCTATTACGACCTCTGGCTTGACCTTACAGCAGCCTTCAATAGCAGCAGGGGGACAACATTTTGAGGATTAGCATGCACGAAATGTTGCATCGTTCTTTCAACTCCTCATAGTGCAGTTCACTGTTTGAAATTGTCTTCCGATCCCTTCAGTGTTGCGAGTGACCATTTATATGCAGAATAAGCTGCTTGTTTCTCATTATTCATTTCTTTCACTTTTCTCTGGATAAGCACTTGATGTTATTTCTCTTATGCGAAGAATTGCTTGTAATCCTTGATATGTGAGAAATGTCAACAAGATAGAGGATATGAGAAATTCGCAAATAAGAAGTAGTCAACAACGTTCCTCGGCATAAAGCACCACGTGGCCCATTTAAGTCCCCATGAAGAACAAAAGCGCGAATCTTCGAACGAATTGCAAAGGCTGCAGCCCGTCGCAAGTGCGCATATGCCTATCAATACGACACCATAACCCTCTTCATCCAAAGCGATCTCCAATCGCTCACTACTTGCTGTCAGGTGAAATTCCAGTCTCTTCAATTGGGGACTCATTATTCTTCTAGATCATCTTTCAGCCACTTCCTTATTGTTACCTTTGATAAAAGAATCTGGAAATAGCTACTCACAAATTTTCATCACTATCAATATATATCCAGATACAGAAACACAATGCCACTGCAAGCACTGGAACCAAGTGCATTGTGAGGTAAGCCGTTTGATGGTTTTGTATAACCGTAACACTGAAATAAAAAGAGAAATAGAAAAATCTGGTAGCGGTGACTTGAAAGAACCGATGTTCTCAACAAAGTCCTGAATTGGAATTATACTTACCCATACTGAGTCGGCAGACTTAGGTAAGAAGTAAATGACTTGCTTTGACTTGATGTTCTTGTTATGCGCTTTTATTTCATATGTGCTACTCGTCCCTATCGGTGCATATCACTAAGTACTTACGTATTTTCTGCATGGGTGCTGATAAGCTCTGGCTTGTAGGTTATCAAGAAAGCGAGGCCAAGCGGGGTTCTCGTAGTGTAGGAGATAAAAAGAGCAAAAAGCACAATTCTGGGCTTGAGTTGGGCTCGAGGTCGAAGTTTTGCCCTTAACTCGCCATCTCTGTGGCTTGAGATGCTTCCCAAAACCTTCAAGGCATAGGGCGGCGCCAGCAGGGGCTGTATCAAAACTATTGAATTATATAGAATACTAGTGGTTGTCCTATATTGCGACAACTGTAGAGTAACGTTATTGCACGAAATCGAAAACGCACAGCCAGATATTATAGGTTTTGTTTGTTTATCTGTTCATCCTGCCACATGCAAATTGTGTAGGAGGAACTACACGCGACAATTTGCTTCTTTCCAGGCCATCTTATTCACTGTAATTCCACAAGGGGTGCCATCTATTTCCTTCTATATCTCTCCGTCACAGTGAATTCGGTCTTCAGTTAAATGCCGCTGGTTCCATCACTTTAGTCTTTCTCATATTCTCACTCGAATTTCTGCGGCTCAGTTCTCCAAATTTTTAAAGCATTTATAGGTACGTCTTTATCCAGATTCCTCTTACTCTCACTGAAATCCGAAAATTTTTTTGCATCAACGGGAGTGTTTCTTCTGTATATTATTGTTTCAAGCATGACAGAATAGGGTGAATCCATAGCGAACTCTAGCTGCTCTTTTCAATCGAGTTTCGAGTGTCATTAAACGAACACTGCTATATGTACACTCCATAGAGGTGTACGAAGGAAACCAGGTTGATGAAAAGAAGCAGAAGGCAGAATCGAACTTTGTTGACTGACTGCTGCGTCAATAGGGGGACGTAGTCATGACGAAAAATTTTGTACACTGAGGAGCCCAAAAACACAACAAAAGAGCTCTTTGTTCGGGATTCACGGGAATTAGGAGAACGTATTGTAAATTGAGCAAGATATTTGTGAATAGAAGCCTTATCGCGAATACTCGCGATTCCGATATGATTCTGCGAGTGAACACAATAACACGACACTGGGATTTAAAAGGCCCGCGAATATAGTAACTAAAGAGTATTTCGCAACTCGATTCCCGCAAAATGGAAACCTAGTCTTATCTTACAATTAGACGTCGACGCACTCATCCCGCTGACATACTTCACTTCTACTTACTATTTTCTTTCGTAATAATATTATTAATGAACTTGTTAACCTCAATTTTCAGCATAACCTCATAAGCCTATGTTTACTTGTGGTCTTTGCCTCAGTTCTCAGTTATCTTATAGCAATCTCACTTCTATCTCTACCTTTAACCATACCATCATATAAATGACTCTCCGAATGACATATTTTCTCGCAGTATCACACAGTTCTGGCATTTGACGTATACATTTTGTACTGATAGTTCAATTACTCAAGTTTGAGGGAAGTAAAGAAGTTTTGTACTCGTGTACAATTTCTATAAACCTTGCCAAATTACTAAAGCGAACTAAAGTACGAAGTAGAAGTAAAGGTTAGAATGAAGCGTGTCACATGGAAAAACTATAACTGCAATAGAAGACTGTTTTGACGGGAAGACTACTTACTAGAATCTCTGAAGTGACAGCAACCTGTCAATCGCGACCCCGAGTAGCCACGTAACTGAAAGGAATATGCCACAAATAGGAATAAGTTGCAAACGCACACAATCTGCTTGTTTCATTAAGCGATCAGGAATCCTAGAAGAAAATAATTAGAAAAAAGCTTGGGAGACTTGCTACCCAAAATGTATGTACGCTATTCACGCCAGGGAACCATAGACCTAATTTTTTTCAATGGAATTAATTTACAATAAGTTAGATGAATTCGCATGAGACTCCTATAAGTGAATGTTTCTAAATTATCATACTCATTTGAGGAAAGAAGCTATTCAGAAAATGCAGACCTTGAGAAACACTATTCAGAAAATGCAGACCTTGAGAAACAATCTCATTCCATTAGATTTCATAAGAGAGCGTCACGAGCAAAAAAGTCAGCTTAGCCGTTTACTGTGATTTGGTCGAGCTAAAGTTGACATTAGCAGCGATTGGAGGGTTCCTACGCCAAACCACAATATACTTCGTTGAAGTCGATCTTACCATCAGAAGCAATTGTATGGCTGTTGTAACTCAGCGGAATCGTAAGCGCAAATTGAGTTAATGACACTCATTTATCATCCAACTAGGCTCTCGAAATTTGTTCTCATTTGATCGCTGAAGCTCACTTTTCCTTGGATTTCCTGCCATGTATTTCAGAAAAGTCGATGCTCTATTCTTCAGCTACCATTGAAACCACAAATTGGACCCTTTTTTGATTAAGCTTACAAATCCAAATGAAATAAAGTTACAAAGTCGAAAAGTCATTTTCGTGCTACCGAAAAATGACTTAAAAGGAATCAGTCGATTTTCTAAGAAGAAAAATTCAGACAAGAGAAAGAAGAAGTTTGTAAACTAACAAATGATAAGAGAACATCGTCACATATTGACCGCTTAGTTGCATGATATCGGCGACGGAGATCAGTGCAATAATAATATTGCATATGCTTCGCAAACTTCTGAATATAGGTGTTTTCAAAAAAAAAAGAACAATAAGCAAAAGAGACCAATAAGATTGTCTGCGGACTCTGTGATACAGGACGCAGGCCAGAGGTTGAGCTAGAGTGGGTGATTTCGACATGAAGTTATTCGATTACACTTTATACCTAACCATCAAGCTTCAAAAGCAACTTTTCTTTGCGTCTAACGCAGAAAAAAGCGGTCTAATTAGCTTTTTTCAGCTTTTCACTTTTTCTTCTATCTCGTTGTGTATCAGACCTGTATCACGAAACCACGAGACTGCGAAATAGAGAATCCATATACATTAGCAGTGCTCACCTTGATCGCATTGTGACCACTACTATGAGGAAGTTTCCAATTATACCAACAGTCGCAATAAAAGTACGCAATACTTGATAAACAGGCGGTATTGTGGTGGCAATCATACTGGCTGCGAAATTCTGTAGAAGACACTTGAAAATTTGCAGAGATTGA